GACTAGTCAGCTCTATATCGTACCAACGTTTAGAAGGGTATGGGTTTGTCCTTTGTGTGCATAAGGAAAAGACAACAACAATCGTACTAAGCAAGCTTCCTTTGATCGCTGAATGCTGGAATAACCTGAAGGTCTCTTTAGCATTCGTTGAGGCTTGAGCAGTTTTCACACATATGTAGACGGGCATGTAATCACTGAGTACCGCTTCAGATCACGTACTCGCCAGTCTCTAATCTTCAGTTTCAGTCTTCGACATTAGCTGAAGGTTCTTTGGTGTGRGTGTTGTCTTCTTGAAGTATCGTTGTCTCTGTTTGAATTACAATACAAGTTCTTCAGCAATCACTGAACAGGTTCAGTGATGATCGTTGGAACTGAAAAGACAGAAACATAAATACAACGTATAAGTGAAAGGGGATTATCATCAAATCACTGAGAGAGAGGATCAACATTTACTCCTCCCACTCGAGATGTCATTAAGRATTTTGCTCTAAGTGTCATCAGCCACCATCCCAGCTTCATGTYTAACTATAGTCCAAATTTCCATGGAAAAACCACACTCAAAGAACAAGTGGTTATGAGAATCCAAGCAATTTGGGCACAGAGGACAAATCAAATCCGGATGGTCATGCCGGCAAGCCCTCATACAGTCCTGAGTGGGAAGCCGAAGACGATAAGCAAGCCACATGCTAAAGGAATGTTTAGGGATACATCCCTTATACCACACATGCTTATGCCAATCTACCGTGTCATGAACACCATCCAAGGAGCCCAAAACCTCTCGAACTGTAAACRGAACCAAAGCATTTAAAKAATTCAGCCATAATACTTTATCACAGACATTAGATTGAACTTGGAGGATATCTCAAGTTGAAACGTTGGAATGCTACTATTCCTAAAAGGTGGCCAACAACCATCCAAACTGTTAATAATCTCCAAAACATAAGAGTTTGCATTGAAACCACTCATATGGATACTCGTGTAAGAAAGGCTATGTGAAAGATGGMCAGTTGTCCTCCCAAGCATTTGTATTACTTCCATCACCAATCTGAAAAAAAGAAGTGTGGCTGAATGGACTCTCTAATATCAGGAGCTTGCGCCAAACCCAAGAAGACTTTGGGTTTTTCCTAATTAGCCAGAAATTAATATGCTTTAAATGGTTTTCATAGATCCACTTGGCCCAAACCGAATMTCTTCTCTGTAATAGGTCCCAAACATGCGATGTTAGTAAGGCACTATTCCAAATAGCCATTCTTTTAATACTAAGACCCCCACATGCCTTGGCCATACAGACCTCATTTCAAGCTATTCGACAACGTCCCCTAGCATTTCCCCCTTGAACCCACAGGAGGTCCCGAAAAAGACCTTCAATTTCATGAATAACTAACGAAGGAATAAGGAACACCGACATCCAATAAAGTTGGAGAGAGCCCAATACTGATTGGATTAGTTGGCACGACCATATAAGAAAGGAATTTAGCCTTCCAATTTTGTATATGAAATTTAACCTCCGTAACAAGGCTTTCAAAATCCACCACCTTCAACTTCAAGGGAGATARGGGAACACCAAGATAATGAAAAGAAAACTTATCTTCCGGAAATGGAAGACACTCCAAAATGGCAGATTTGGCATCGTTCGGGACATTGCCAAAAAAGACTTCACTTTTGGCCAAACTCGGGGCAAGGCCCGATCTCTTCTTGAATTCCTGAAGTGCACGTTTCAAGACATCCACTGAAGCCACTTAATGTTAAATTTTTATATATATAATTTTTAATTTTGCGAACCCGTGCAAAGAGAGGGGGGGGAATTCTTGTAAATCAAGTTTAAGAAACCTCCTTAAGCTTATTTTTTCATTGGTGTGTCATGAAATTCCATTAACTCATAGGAATAGGATCGCATGATTCATCTGCATTATATTATACACAAGTCTGACAGTAATGGATGAAACTTAAAAATTCATATAGCAAGACATAGATTTGATCAAGTAAATAAAAGGATATGATAGGCATATATAGTAGACACGTGTGGCTCATTCCCTCCATAATTATCAGGTGAGGAGTGGCATATGCCTGTATCTACCATGCCAACTTGACATAGAGTAAGCAGGCGTTTGGAATGGTTACCTGTTATAGCCTAAATGATGGAGTCGGTCAATTAACCTTAGCAGCATCCATATTTAGTATAACATCAAATTTGTTGTGTGTAAAAAGAAAGTTATAGGAAATAAAAACACATTTTGGCATGAAAAGATAATTAGATGATGAGAGTCTAGTCAATCCACATTTCTTGGTGAAGTGATTGAGAGGGAATTTGAATATCGGGAGAYATTTCAGTATTCTWCATGGATCAAGAGAGTGAGGGTTAGGACTTAGGATTAGAATCAAATTGAATTTCTGGATAAAAGGATCACGTGGGAGGATACAGCCATACATACAGGTAGAGGGAGTAAGCTATAATAAATTGTAGCAAAACAGTAATAATTATGCTTTATTTATAGTATAGGAAAACAAATCAAATCTTCAATGAAATTTTGACTCTAGTATTACATCTTCCAACATTTTTTAATCAAGCTGTAAATGTAAAATTACAACATATATATTTTTTGAATTTCACAAATGACTAGTCTATAAAAATGCATCACTCATTTTTATTTGATATATCRAGGAGTATGTGAGAAAAAGAGTGACATGGAAGAACCTTAAAAGATCCACACAACGCCATGGACCAAATACCAGGTTCTTCAAGTTTTAAGAAGAGATGGAGATGGAGATGGAGATGGAGATGGAGATGGAGATGGAGATGGAGATGGCGATGGGTACTAGGCAATGCCATCCATTCTCCACCTCTTGACCTTCTAAAGGTGGTTTTGATTTTTTGAAGACAAATAAAGGACTAAAAAGATACCAACTCTTCATTCCCAACWATCCCAGACCATTTGAATATCAATTAAGAAACMTTTTTTATTATTTGTTTGGTGTTAATCCTTGAAAAAGCAATCTACATATCATATCTCTCTATACAAACATAATTCACCAAAAAAAACTTATATTTTGCTCCCTAATACCACATACCAAATTATCTTTCCACCTTTAATCGGTCTTAATCATTTTAATTATTCATGGATTTATTTATTAAATGAGAAACAGCTTCAACAAAAACCAACATTTTATACAATGCTAGTGTATGTAGTTTGTTGATGATTCATGATTGTATTAATCTGCCAAAAGTCTGCTCAGCCATGTAAGTTCAYTTGTAATCCTTCTCATACATCTAAATTCAGCCTTAGCTGAAGACAATGAAACTGTTACTTGTTTCTTTGACTTCCATGATATAGGACTCCCCCCAAAAGAAACAAAGTAACCACTTACTGACCTTCTGGAAAAAGGACAAGATGCCCAATCTGAATCACAGTAAGCAGAAAGTGAAAAATCTGATTTGTCATTGCAAAACAACCCRAAAGAGCCAAACACTTTCAAATACTTCAGAACGTRTAAAGCAACATCCCAGTGAGCTTTCGAGGGATTTTGATTAAACTAACTGAGGAACTGAACAATAAATACCAAATCAGGCCGAGTATGAACCAAAAAATTGAGTTTCCCCACCAACTGTCGATATTTGCTCGGATCTTCTAAAAAATTAGGCATGTCTGGMATAAGTTTCAAATTACAAGGTAACAGRGTTGTCACATTTTTAACAGTTGTGATACCATACTCATCAAGTAACTCAGTGAGATATTTCTTTTGAGTTAGAAAAATTCCTAATCACTTTGCAAGAACTCCAATCCTAAAAAGTAATTAAGAAGACCCAAATCTTTGATTTGAAAAGTTTTATGCAAAAACTTCTTCAACTATTCTATTTCAGAAGTACTATCTCCGGTCACTATGGCATCATCAACATATACAACCACTATGGTGAACGATTCTTTTGTCTTTTTGAGAACCAAAGAGTAATAATTTCRAGAATGATGAAACCCTCTTGCTTTTAGCGCTTCAGATAACTTTGAATACTATTGTCRTGAAGCCTGYTTCAAACCATATAAAGACTTCATAAGTTTGCAAACATAGTTATCATTTGTGCAAACCATACCTTTGGGCCTTTTCATATAAACTTCTTCATGTAAATCCCCATGTAAGAATGCATTGTTAATGTCTAACTGATGAATAGGCCAATGTTGTTTGACAGCAAGTTCTACAATGCATCTGATAGTAGTAAACTTGACAACCGGAGAGAATGTTTCATAATAGGCTTCATTCTGTTTTTGAGTGAAGCCTAGTGCTACCAACCGTGCTTTATATCGTCCAATTATCCCATCTTGATTGAACTTGGTTTTATAAACCCATTTACATCCTATAGCACGCTTACTTGCAGGTAAAGGAACAAGCTTCCAAGTTCTATTTGCTTCTAAGGCTGCAAATTCTTTTGCCATGGCTTCTTGCCAAAAAGGATTAGAAACAGCTTCCTCATATGACTTAGGATCCACAATAGAGATTATATTTGCAACCAAAGATTAACTAAAACTATTTAAAGCAATTGGAGATTGATTCTGAGACGAAACACATAGATTGTTCATGGTATGAGGACATATTTCAATATAAGGCATTGAAGCATTTGAAGAAACATGATTGCAAACAAAATCATCAAAATGAGAAGGTTGTTTAGAAGCTCTAGAATATCTGCATAATGCAGGAATGGTTTAATCGATTCAACATGATCAGAATTTCGATACTATTGTTCAGTGAGCACAAACTCATATTCTATGATTGGATGACTTGGTGATCGAGATGTCGTTTGGACAGGTATATCAGTTGATATTGAAGAAGAATAGGTCGAATCAAAGGTTTTGGGTTCAACATGATCAGAAGAAATAGGATTGAAGATTGGAATAGGAAATGGCAAATTATTTGTATTTGGTGAAGGAATAGATTTGGTAAACAGAAATTCAGTTTCACAAAATTCAACATTTYGTGAATATAAGATTTTCTTGGTTCAAGATGCATAACTTTGTATGCTTTCATATCAAATGGATATCCTAAAAAAATATGTGGATCAGCTTTGGATTGCAATTTATGTCTGTCTACATGATTTGTGGAAACGAAACACAAACATCCAAAAGATCGTAAATGGTCATATTGTGGCTTAGTTTTGAATTGAAGTTCAAAAGGAGTAAGATAATTTAACACTTTTGAAGGCATTCTGTTTATAAGATAGGCTRCAATCAAAATRCTATTCCCCCCAAAAATTTAGAAGTAATGCATATTGGATCATCAAGGCTCTGGCTGTTTCAAGAAGATGTTTGTGTTTTCTTTCAACTCTTCCATTTTGCTGAGGTGTATATGGGCAAGCTAATTGATGAATGATACATTTAGAAGAGAAGAAATTTTTTCMTTCAATGTTATCACCCAACTCTTTGGCATTATCAGTCTGAATCACTGTAACTGTTTTATGAAACTGAGTTTGTAYAAACTAAACGAAAGAATTTATGATATGAAAGGCTGCACTTTTGTGTTTCAACAAATGGATCCAAGTTGACCTACTATAATCATCAACCATAGTAACAAAATATTTGTGTCCATCATATGTAGGAGTATAAAATGGACCCCAAACATCAACATGAAGCAAATCAAATATAGAATCAGATTTGGATTGACTAATGGGAAAACGTAACTTGTGTTGTCTAGCTTTGTGGCATACAACACATGAATGAAACAAATCTTTATTACAAGCATTTGGAACAAGATTTATTTGTTTTAGTGTTAGCTTTATTATTCATCTCTTTGTAAAAGTATAAAAAAGTATTCTGCAAGTGTTGACAGAAGGGTATCTTCCACAGAAGACAACATAAGTTGTTTCATCGTACAAGTAAAATGTGACAGAACCTCTAATGTCTCTCACAGAGGTTCTGGAAAATGGTCCTCTGTCAATAAGAACATGCAAGTCAATTACTGCAGAGCCTCTGAGATGGCTCACAGAGGGTCTGGGAATTCGTCTTCTGTGAAGATCCTCTCCCAACTGTTTTTCAAAGGTTGTTAGCTGCATGTGCTTCTCACGTGACTAGGACTTTATCGAATTTATTTGGACGGCTTAGATGATTTCACACGTCTAGATCATGTCAGTAAGGTCGTTAGGAACTAGTATAAATAGCGGTTAAGGCCTTTGTATTCAGTGTGCTTCCGAATTGTAATCGTCTTATTTTCAATTGAATGAATTGAAAAACCTTTGAAGCTATTCTCCTGTGTTCATCTTCTTCCTCATATTAACTGTGTGTTGTTGGTTTAATTACTCTGTTCTCTTATTATTGTTTTCGCTGCACTGTAATCGTCCTAGAGTTCATTTAGAGTAATAGATCAATATCAAAGTTGAATTTACAGGTCCAACATTTAGCTTGTACAAAGGAAGATGACCAAAACGTAAATGCCACAAGAAAAATATCTTATTACATATATCTAGCATAACAGTACTAGATGCAGAAAAACTATCAGAATCACAAATCTTGACTTGATTGGAGTTTAACAAGTAGAGATTTCCAACCCTTTTACCAAGTACCAAGGGCTTCTTGGTGAGAGGATCATGCATATAACAATGTGTATCAGAAAAATAAACATGAGACTTATATGTAGAACACAACTTGGATACAGAGAGAAGATTATAATGAAATGAAGAAACATATAGCACATTACTCAAAGTTAACGAATTGGATAGAGTAATGTTTCCAATTGACTCAACAAACAACGTATTACCATTAGGTAAAGAAATTTTATGAGATTTAGGAAGTTTTATGAGAGTGGAGAACACATACTTATGACTACACATATGATCAGACGCACCAGAGTCAATAATCCAAAAACTAGAAATAGGAGTAGTCAAAATTTTACATGCACATGCAGCAAAACCACTTCCTTCTTTCTCTATAACAGAAACAGATGAACTGCTCGAGAATTTATGTCCAGAATTTGAGATAGCAGACTCTTTAATTTTGCAATTGTTAATAAAATTCATGATCTGTTGGTAATCATGATTAGAAATTTTAGCATTCCCTTCAACAGCATCAACAGAAGAAGATCTTCTTGGATTATTGAATTGAAACTCTCTGGAAAATCGATCAGTTTGTAACATTCTGCCTTAATATGCCCTTTCTTCTTACAGTAATTATAAACAAGGTTTCTTTTTGTTTCAGCATTCATGAACACCTTTACTCCTGCAGAATTATTTTTATTTGCCAGCATTGCCATTCCTTCATCATTCAATTTCACAGGGGCAGTAACTTCTCTCTGTTGTTCCTCTTGAATCAACGTCGCATAAGCATCAGCAGTATTAGGAGTAGGCTTTTCATGAAGAATATTACCTCTAACTTGTATGTAACTATCATTCAAACCAAAAAGAATTTGTACTAACTGCTGCCTTTCCATGCGTTTTATCCAAGCTTCTCCTGTAGTACATGTACAATCTGGTAAATCATCAATTGTTGCAAATTCATCCCAAATTTATTTAAATCTAGAGTAATATGTGGTAATTGAATCAGTTCCTTGAGCTATTTGATTCAATTCTTTCTGTAATTGAAAAACTATAACCAGATTTGATTACTCGAACATGTGGTGCAATTGTTTCCAAATAGCGCTTGCTGTTGTGTAATATATCAATCCTTCATAAATTTCTTTAGTCATCGCATTGAGAATCCATGTAATAACAATGGAATTGCATATCTCCCAATCATCATAGCTAGGATCGTCTTCTGCAGGTTTCTTCATTCTCCCATGCACAAAACCTAATTTGTTCTTGATACAAAGTGCTAGAGACATCGTACGCTTCCAAGCTACAAAACTCTTGCCATCGAAAATCTTTGTAACCAGCACCGTTCCAGGATTATCACTCTGACTCAAAAACAAAGGATTCGAATAAGCAGAGGCATTCATGCTCTTATTTGCATTATATGCTTGTTTATCAGTCATATTGGGACTACGAATAGGAAGGAAATGAGAACAGATCTGAAAAAAAAAAACTGAAATTGAATAATGAAAAATGAAAAGAAAGTCAGATTGGATCGTAGAGATCTGATACCATGATAAACGAGAGTAGAGAGTATAAAGAAATTGGAAGTAGAAAGAGATTTGGTATTTTCTGTGTATTGAAAAGAAAGGAGAAAATCTCAATATATACAAGATGAAGACTAAACAGACTAACTATACTAACAAACAAACTAAAAATAATAACAAATTCTAACAATTTACTCAACATTGAAAAACTTGCATACATACATTGTCCCTTTTTTGCATTGTTACGGTACTTTCAACCGATACATGTAAACATTATAAGCAATAATTAATGGCTATATACTATCGACTAAGAAAGGGAAAATAATAACAAAGTGTACACGTAGGAATGAGAAGATGAGTAACAACATGCAGTTAAAAATATGACGATGATTCGTAAAAAAAGAAGATGCCTAAAAGTTTATGGGCAGAAGTTGGCAAGTGAAGTATTTGGATCAAAACAGAAGTGAAGACATGAAAGGTGAAATACAAGATGCTGGAATCAATGAATCAGTAGAGAAGGAAACAATGAATGAAGCAACCATAGATTAGATGATTACAGCTGAGCTAGTACAGGGAGGGACATTAATTGGTCATTAATCCTTATCTAAAAACTGAGCCATTTATTCTTATTTTATTTTTTTATTAAGTTGGAGAATAGAAATTGATTTTGTTTTATGCTTAAAGTTGATAACATTTTGGTTGTAGCAGGATTGAGAGCAACCCATAAAACTTCATTTCTGATGATTTACTCCATGGTGCACCAAAGATGATGTAGACGAATATTATTATTAATGACAGAGTGAGTTAGTATTGAAAAGTCATTTGCACTACTACTTTCCATAAGTAGACTTGTGTTGTGTGAATATTCGATCTGAAAAATCACATTCGCCCTCCATAATTGAAATACTTACAGAAAGGGCATTTTGGTTTTCATTTTGTTAACTCAAAGGCATTTGGGTAATTTACCTGTTTTCTTTATTTTTAATTAAATATTTAAAAACCTATATATAATGTATATACATATACGTATATAAGGAGGTTTCAAGTACAAATCATGTATTTTTTACAAACCAATTATAACCGTTTATTTAGTTTAATAAATATTTGATTTTATTTTGTTTTTAATCTAAAGTCATGATCACAATAATAAACATCTTCCATATATATATTTCGATCATAATTGATCTATCATAATAATTGCCTATAAGTGTACCATATTTGGTGGGGTAGACATGGAGGGACAAAACACACTTGTTACATGTTTGGTGTGTCTTTATCCCACTCCACCCTCGGATCAAGATGGAACAACCTCATTTGTACCAAATACCCTTGAAAAACCCTAAACCTAAACATGACTCACTAGCCAATTTCATCAGATTTAATCCATACCCAGCTA